ACACACCTGCTGGAATTGACACTGCTAGGAGCTGAGGCTAGTCATCCTCGTATCATATAGCCATGTTAAATTATTTTGCTTTATTTGTGAAGCAGCTGAAAGTGATTTATAGATGAAGATCACCTATTGTTTTGCCCTTTATTCAATGAGTTATACCAATGGAAAGCGGCTGTAAAATCCTACTGTTCTGATGTAGTGCACAGGAACAGTGAATGGAGACCATGTTCCCTATGGTGTGGAGCTTTCATGCTAAACAATGAACATAGAAAAAGGGGAGAGGTCTGTGCGGGCCATCTCCAGATCCCATCCTCGTCGCCATGTGCGGGCCGTCTCCAGATCCCATCCTCGTCGCCATGTGCGGGCGGCGGGGAGCGATCCGGGCCCTTTTTTGAGCTGCGCGGGCTGTGGCCAGCAGCCCGGGCTCGCTGGGTCGGAGAGAACAGGTGACACGCTGGAATTACGCACGGACGCGTAATGGTTAATTCAAAGATTGTTTACTTACACCGAAGATGGTCGCGGTGCAGGCAGGAAAACTTACTTGAGTTGCGGTTACAGACAGGAAAGAAGAGAGGCAGACAAGAGTTCTAAACTCGCGAACTCTAGCCCAGTCCGGCTGAAGGCTCTAAACACGCGAGCCCGTCATGTCAACCGAAGAAAGTACTCGTACAAAAGAGCTCTAATCCTTTTGTTCACTCACACGAAGTTTGCTAGGCTCCGTGGGTCCTTTTTTTGCGTGCAGGGAGAGGGATACGTCGAGGTTTGCGAACGGCGACAGGGAGAAGAATCGATAGGTGATCAGTCTGGTGATCAGTCTATCGATCAGCAGCCTCAGGTCAAATCTCCGTAGAGGCACTCTGCAGCGTGCTCAAAGTTCTCCAACTTGGGCGGAAACCACCCAAGCCTTTTATACGGCTAGCAAGCCAATCGCTAGCCGCCACGTGTGAATAATTTCACGCAAGCCAATAATGGGATTCGAATTAGAATACAAATTGGCGGGAATTCTTTTTGCACCGGGGTTTTCCTCTGCAGCAGAAAACTCCACCGTGCAAAGAAGCTGCAATTTAGCGGGAACATAATTCAGTGGTGCCAAAGCACACACAAAACAAAATCACACCCTTTGGGTTGTGACAAGGTCAAGAAAGCACTTCAGTCGTGTGAACTGTGCTGCACTGTTTAGACTGAAACATATTATGCATTGTTTAAATGTGTCAACTTTGTAAGTGGAAGAGGATGGTTACCAGTGGGAGGCAATCCAATAGATGTAAGTTGCTAGTAGGAGACTTGAAGGATGCACTCGAAGTGCAATGGAGGAAGCAGTTATAGATATAACAACACCGTTCATCAGAGGGCTCCAAGCATTTTATAAGTGATGTCAGCATTATTGATTAACCTCTTTTACTGCTAGAGAAACTGAGGCAGAGACACTGAGCACATTGGTGGCAGAAGTGAGAACAGAACCAAGTTGTTCTGAATTCCTGTCCAGTTTTCTATTCACTAAGCCACAGTTTTCCTTGTACAGAGCATGTCAAAAAGGCACAAGCATGCAGAGGCAGCCTGTGGGGAAGGAGGAAGTAGCTGAGCAGATATTGCCTCCATGCAACTATCTTCATTTTTGGTTTTGGATACAAGCCACCATGGCCACTTTTTGTTGTGGGGGGAGTCTAGGGGGTGGAGGAATGTACCTGACACATCACATTAGCTGAGACATGCACTGAGCATTACAGGTTCCAGCCTTTTTGCACACAAACTGCCAGAGGCTGAATGTGGAAGAGTAATATCTAAATTTAAAAACTGACTAAACCGCTACGAGCATTGTGGTGTAGGAAAGTTCACAAGAGGAAGGAGAACTTCCGTAATACTGTCATCGCTTCTAATGTTGCCGAGATGTGGTAACAAGGTAATGATGTGAATGGAACAATTTTCGCCTTCTCCACCCACTGAGCTGAGAGTGGGGTGGAAGTTCACCCTTCATACTACTGTTAGCTACAAAGGAACAACTCTCTGGATCATCATAAATTCTAGTTTATTGGACAGGATGTGAAGTTACCAATAAAATCATAAATGCAAACTTTGAGTGATGAGTGGTACTGGTCACCTTAACGTGCGCGCACACACATGCACTCACTCATTTAAACCCATGCACTATAGTATATAGTAGCTGCTATAGTGATTGTGAGAGCACTGGTGTCAGTATATCTACCTGAGGCCCTGAAGTCTGCTGTCGATGGTCAGCTTCCTTCAAGGCAATGTCTTCTCCAGAAGGGGGTCACCTGCTTGTCCTTCTATCTCAGTAGGTCAGGTGCTGGATGAGAGGGCACCACTGAGGGTCACACTTCACTACCTTTTATCCCTTTCTGGCAGGCTTGTGTGATCCCCCAGCATCATCTTGGCTGCCCAATCTGGAGGTTGCTGTCCCATGTAGGTCTTGAGTAGTGCATGACAGCTGTTAGTCACAGGGGTCTCTGCCTGCTGGTACCTGAAGTTTTGGGAGTCCACCCTTGACTTATTGACTGAATGACTGTATTGTCATGGGTTACAGGAATAGTCCATAGGGTGGGTGCTCAGTACCAGGAATCAGTTCCTTGGCTTGATTAGCGTAAAATGGCTTGTAGAGTTTTGTAATGGTTAGTTCCTCTGGCTGGGCTACTGTCAATTAACAGCCAGAGGTACTTGGTTTGTCATTCATACTCCCATTCATTCAAGGGACCACCCAATATAGCAGATTTTAATCACTTTACAATTACAATTACAATTTCAATGCAGATTTTAACAATGGTCCAGGGTATAACTTCATTCTACAGGGAGTACATTCCTTAAGGGTTTAAAAGTATAACATGCAACATGCCATGGTAAAGACAAGACAGATGAAATATAAAAATGCACTGTTAGAAATATATAAAAATGCAATGTGAGATACTGAGGATCAAAGGCTACTGGGGACAGCAAGTGAGTTAGGTTAGCACCAGGATATATTTACAGTCTTTGAAGTGGATATTTTAGTTCTTTTGTTTTCTTTAGTGACACTCAGCTTAATTGGTATGTAGATATAGTTTCTAGGTTTCTCCTACAGAAAGCCACTTCAGCTTCCTGGCTTGCTCTGAGCCTTGCCACACCCATGCAATGAATGTGCTAGGTCTCTGCCAATACAAAGGAGGAAAATGAATTGCAAAAAATGTGGGGTACAGACAAGAAGGAACTTCTGTTATATCAATGTCCAGAAGGGAAATGTACGAAGGGGGCTTCCTACTACACTATAAACAGTCCAATCCGAAGTAAAGATGATAGCTTATGGGCAGCCCTGTATCTTCATGTTTTAATTGTTGGTTCCTTCCTTTAATGAAATAATACAAATGAAGGAACATTTCCATTGCAGAATCTTGCCAATAAGTATTCACTATCTCTTACCAACTACTGCTGTAGTCCCAACTGTGCTAATTTATGCTAAATGAAATGAAGCAAAACTTCCTTTCTTCTCACCCTACAATAATTTACCAGCAATACTGATTGACTGTTGACTATTCACTCTCCCCTGTGGCAGATCTAGTCTCTCTGCAGCCTTCAGCAGTTTGGCAGGATTTGGGACTAGTTATGCTCTATTTAAGAATTATTTAGTATGTGTTATTCTTTTCCTTTGTTTCTGACAGTTTCCCCAAAAATGTGATGTGGTCTATTAATCCTTAGAATGCTTTGTAGCTGGGGGTGCTGACAGAATGGAAAGGTTGACACCTGGGTGAGGAACAGGAACCTACAGGTCAGCTTGGCAGGGATATGAGCATTTAATGTAGATATAGCTGCAGAGTTTAGTAGCTAGAAATGAGTCACTTAGCATGACCATGGGAGTTGCTGCTGGTTCACACCAGAGAGGAAACTTATTATTAGCAGGCTCCACAAGGAAGCATTTTACCTACATCACTGAAGTTGGGCTTCAAGATACTGGGCTAGCCCTTTCTAGGAATGCTAAAGTAGTTATTTATGAAGTGAACTTACACCTTCCTAACCCAGATCTCTTTGGCTGAGAACACTGAAGGATAGTGACAGCTTGGCTCCTGGGTTGAGATAAAGATTAATAGTTTAAGAAAAGATTGGGCAGCTCTGCATCCAACCAGCATCAACAATTATGTTAACTTGTATACAATTCTTCCAGTTTTCACACTTGCCTGAATTTTCTCTTGGTTTTCTTGTCTATGTACAGGCAGAGAACAGCTGCAATTAATAGCATTTCTTCTCCTTTCACAACCACTTCTTGGAAATATCAGGCCACAGTGTTTATTAAGCCTTCCTTGGCATCCTAAGAAACACAGACAGCAGCAGAACTGGGAAAGGGGGCAGGGAGCAGAAAAATAGCTGCAGCTAGCACTGTCCAGGGCCCAGAGCTATGCTGTGCCTGCCCAACTTTTAAAATGTACCATTTAAGAAATGGTAATGGTCAATAAGTTGCACTCCGACATCTAGAGCCTAGAACCAGGGGAAGAACCAGACAGAATCTCCCTCCTGCTCTCAAGATAGGGAGGATCTTATGGTCTTCTAAAACTGGAATACCTGAAGAAATAATTTCAGCACCAAACAGCCAGAGGTGATAGTCTTTCTTTACCATCCACAAAGACATGTCAATGCAGATTAAAAAAAACAAAAAGACA